ACCTTCAAAGCATGCCCAAATGTTCACTTTACATTTACTAGAAGGGAAAAATATGATTAATTCTTTCCATTTTAACTTATTTATAAATTATTAACTCACCTCTGAAGCAGTTATACCTGCTGCAGCTTGCTGTACATCACCCTCTGCGAGGATTTCTTGGTACATGTCCTGCAGGCTCTTATTTCAGGCCTTCTTTCATGGTGGGTTTGCATCCTCCTGGCTTGGTTCGTCTCCACAGGCATCAGCCTCTTGCTGTTGATCAGTTCCCCCAACAGCCATTTCATCCACAACACACTGCAGCATAGTCCAGGCATCCTCCTACTTGCAAAACAGTGTATGAGACCCATGGCACTCCCTTGTGTAAAGCGAAACCTTATTTAGCTCAAAATCGGAACTTGGATTAAAACTTGAAGACCAGATGTCTGCTGTGAAACTAATAGCTACAGCATCAGATATTAGCTTCTTGATGTGTCTATGAAGAACACCATACAAGAACACCAGGAGAGAAACTGGGTGAAATTTTTGTCACTCAACAGGCGGAGATTTAAAAGGTCCTCATCCATTGCACAAACAGGTGGCACCAGCGAGGTTGTGGTGGGTTTACAGTTCAAGGACTCCTTGAAGAGTTGCATCAGACCGAGATCCAGAGGAAGAGAAAGAAAAATGGGGTTCACAGTGGTTTTAAAGGGTCCTGCAAGGTTATGGTTTAGGATGTTGGTGAGTCACTATTCTAGGCCCCTCTAGCGTTTTATTTTTTTTTATAAAGCAACAAATATAGCCATTTTTTTACTTGTTGTAGGAGAATATGGCAACAATGTGAAACACTGATCGCTCTGACTTTACAGTCATCAGTAAGGGCTACTGTGAGCTTATCCTCCTTTAAACACAGACAGTCAGACTAAACAGCAAGCCATATGCCTGTCAGAGGGACAAGAGCAACTCCCCGTTGTTTTCCCAATGAAAATGAGGCACATATGTGCAAAGCTTCCCTTTATCCTCTGATTAAGATTGGTATAAATATAATATTCACTGTATATTTTTAATTTGAAACTGTGGCATAAAATTATTGTATTTAAGTTTCTTCCTGTATTTAATTTCACCCATCCTCATCCACTGTGTGTGACACTAATAACTGTCTTTAAGCTTAATTTAATAGCATAATATGAATAACTTATGTAGTTTTTGTTTAGGTACGATAGTACTGAATAGCCAATGTGAAATATTTTATAGAGCCTGTCTTCATTTTTTTTTTTGGCCACTTTTTTGTTGTACTGGTTGATATTCCTCTCTCCTACAGGTGGATTTAAGCCTCATCTAAAATATGAATTTGGCGACAACATCATCTAGACACTTCTAACAACTTTTATGACAGTCAATAGAAACTTTCTGTGCAGAAGATTTAGCAATAGTGAGTCAGAGAGAAAATAGTGACTCTTCTCTGTTTTCTCATTGAAAATGATTCATGTATGGGGAAAGCTTCCTCTGATGCTCCTGGGTTAATAATTAGGATGTAAGAGGAATATTTAACATATATATATTTTTTCTTTAAACTGTTGTATTTCATAACCCCACCCACTATGTGTCTTTGCTAACTGTCTTTACATTGTAGGTACGTAGAGGTAGGGACGTTTTAGTTGCATATGAATACTGTTTCTAGTGTTGGCCCAAGACAAGAAAAAAAATCAATTTCCATTTAAAAATCAATGAATAATACTTTCTTGATCACTAACATTCTCTACTCATTTCTTTACCTTTGGTTATTGATATTTCCTTTCCTTTCTTTTGGTGGAGCAGACTGGTTTCTATATTTCTATGAGTTGAAATTTTACCAGTGTGCTGTCTACTTGCTACTGCCCTGCAAATACATGTTAAGGCTGAATTTATGCTCGTATTGGTTATAATGGCTGCCTATCGACGGCAGAGATTGCAGCTGATTAGAGAGGACTAAAGCTACACTGCATGCAGTGTAAAATGGGGGTTGCCGATAAATCTGGTAAATCGTATTGATATCTGTTAGGATCCAAACTGAATATTTGAAGAAAAAAAAGGCACTATGTGAATTATACTGTATAACATTGACAGAATTACCCAACAAAAAAAAAAATTGAAGTTGGAAAATAAAGAAATTATGGAATATGGAAATATGGAATTTATTGAATAACATACAAAATAACTAATCTATAGGAAAATATGTAATCCTTAAAAATAGATGTAAAGAGATTTTAGATTTTAAAGCAGGATAAAATGAGAATAAATTAGTTTTTCAGGGCTTAAAAAATTAAATTTTAACCCCCCAAATTATAGACTTTTTCTTACAGGTTCAGCATTATTACTTATAGGAATCTGAACCAGGACTCTCAGAGGAAACAAATTACATCACAGAAGAATTGGGTAGAACAAAATTATTAAACTGAAATCAAAACTTTATCAAGGAATTTGGGCTCAGAGGAAAATGTTAATACTATATATAAAGGAAATTTAAGAAAATGAATTAAATATGAAAACAAGAATTGCTTTTCTACACTGGCTTAGTTCTGCAGTGTCACAGAGCACCCAGTGACTATTATTTTTGGTTATAAACTTCATAAAGCACTGTACAAGCCATTTAACCTGAACAGACTCACACAGAGAAAAGCTGCAAGAAGAAAATATACAATTTATTTATACAGGTAACACAATCGTATACTTCAGTATATTTTGATCTAAGGAAAACCAGCTGCAGCACTCTTGCACCCTGTATAGGCCAGCCGCCACTGCTCAAAACATTTTCGAAGCTTAGGAGAAAGCTTAGTTTTATTTTGTTGGTTTGTACTTTATCTTCCTCATTGGTACCAGAGTTGGTGGCCTTGGTCACAACCTATATGCTTCAGACAGTCATCATCTTTGACAGGAAAAGAAACAACACCATGTACATCCATCAGTAGATTATACCATTAATATTTCAAAATGCTTATTTTAAAGTGCTTTAAACACAGAGTTAATCTAGCTGAAAAGGTTACTTCAATATGCTGGCAACACATTACATTAAAAAGCAGACATCTTCATAGTTTGTTTATTAAACAGATGTCTGACTTAATACAATATACACAAACTCATGTCTTACTTTTATTGATGGTGTTTCCCCATAATTTTATAAGATATCTGATAATCCGTCTGTGTTTTTGTGTTGGTAGCAAGCTAAATTATCAATAGATTATATTTTATGTGTTTTTCCATAAAGTTTGTAATCAAACAAATGTTTCTTTCAGTGAAAATAAATAAAAAATGTATTGTGTCCACTGAAACGGGATCTAAATCTAAACCCCAGAATCTAACCCACCTTTTCAAAATGATCAGGCTGTAGACTAACCTTTTCCCTCGGTGCACAAAACAGTTTTTCTTAGGCGCACCAGCACAAAAGTTAGGTTCACCCAAATTGCATTTAAGGGTATATTCCAGTGGATTTCAAACTCATTCTTCAGGACCTACTGTTCTGCATATTTTATATGCGACTCTGCTACAGCACACCTGCATCAAATGACTCCTGCATCAAATGCACTCCCTCAGCAGCCACCACAGTCCGTAGCGCCTTCTTATCACCCATTTATTTAAGTCGGGTTAGTAGAGGCAGGGAAATACTTAAAACATACACGACAGTGGGTCCTGAGGGCCGAGTTTTTAAACTACCAGTGTATTCAAATCTTACAGCTTTAGTCTGACTTAAAAGTACCCAAGTTTCTGTGCCCTTTAGTATGGATCTTTTTGGGAGGTGGAAATAAACTCAAGTGAATCCTGGTTCAGACAAAAAAAAACTGGGGCAACATCCTCTTTCTGAGGTGTGTAGCTCAATTTGAACTACACACCTCACAAAGTTTTGAACTACACGTATCAATCTGGAAAGGCTCCTGTAGACATTGTGTGCAAAAGGGAGGGATATTTAGTACAATTCTTCAAACTGATTGGGTACCTGCTTACCATGTCAGGTTTTTGGCTAATCATGGCAGCAGTAGCAGCTTGATTTGTTTCACAACTAGTAGAGTTAATTAATAAAGCAAACTCTTACCAAACCTGGTCAGGGGAAATGTACAAGCATTTTCCCACCCACATAGGTTAAATATTGCATCCTTTGCCTTATTTTTCCCAAAAGGGGTATTCCATCTAAATCGACGCAGCCATATATGTTTTTTTTCAGCCTTCTGCCTCAGCTTGATGCATTGATGTCATACCTGTACATGTCACTGCAATTCATTGGGCCAAAACATTGCTGTAATGTATCTGCTGAGGTATTTTCATGACTTTTTAAATTCAGAAATCTCGCAAATTCATCAGTGCCTTACACTATTAGAACCAGGCTCAGACTGGCAGCGATTTTCGGCCCTGGCATTTTTCCATCTACACCAGCCCACTTATGGACCGCGATTTCCCACACCTGCACAACACAACACTGGGCAGAACGGCTGTCAGCAAACGTTTATACAATGCTTTTTTCCCAATCACCTGAATCTCTGAACCCTCTGACACTGCTGTGTTTTGGAGCCTCTCTCTTCCCTGACTCTCGTTTCCTTCCGTACAGAGGCCATGGCCAATGGCCAGCTTTCAGAATGTGTATCTCTGCTTTACTTGTCTTCCTGATTGTTGCAAACTGACTCAATTTAAGTCAACAAGGATGTAGGTGTGTCATGTTATTTATTCATTTTTTAAACACTAAACATTACAACTTAAAAAAATAGCTTGAACTAATTTCTTCAGCTTCTTGCATGTGTGTCAACCTCAGAAATAAGTCTGTTGCTAGTTATTGAGGCTTTAAAGGCAATATGGATGTTTGACGCTGTGAATGTGAGGCAAGCTATGTATTTTTCTTTTTTTTTTGTAGGTTATAACCTAGTGGATATTGTTAACTGCAACAGCAACAATGGTGTTCCATCTTGTCATCTTTCTGTCATCCTTTTAACACGTAATGATTCGAGATCACATCATCCTGACCTGTAGAAAGAAAGCTTTATTTTTGATTTTCTCTATGTTCTTAATCGTTCTGAGCTGTTTTGCTGTTGTTTTCATTGTAAAAATGTGTAATTACAGCAATATTATAAAACAGTAGATTAATACCTATTGAGGTTCATGGGGGAGGTCCAATAAGAGAATGTCTTATACACTTGTGAAAAGGCTGAAAATTGAGAATATCCGCTTAGAAGGACGTTAACTTTTTTCATTGCTTTATATAACATCAAAACAGAAGCTCATTTGAAAACAGCAGAACACGAATAAATTCTACAGATGCAATCTTCAGAAACGTCAGTCTCATTTATCTGTCATCCTTGTGGAGGTTATGGAAGCATCTTTATCGGGGCTCCACAGAAAGGAATTTGCAGAAGGCTGCAGAAGAAATATGGATAGGATTTGTTTAGAATCACTGATGGCAGCCCTCAGAGGAGGAGATAATTACCACCCTGACAAGCTTTGATCACAGGTACAGTTATTCTCAGAATGTCTGGGATAATAGTACAATGAGATGATGGCCTTGAATTTCACATAAATCCTCCCCAGTTTTACCGATTTTTCTCTCTTGTACTCTGAATAGAGGCTCTGTGTAGCAGGTGAAGAGACAAGCAGAACTAAATGAGGGGTGCTGATGTGTCAGGGCATCGCTGTCTGTAACAATCTTTTGATTTAAAGGAGTGAGGATAGGCATGTGTTGATGGGTGCTCTAAAGGTCTGAGCTGGAAATACTGTGGGTTAGCCATCCTTTCATACACTGTGGGTGGAATGATTCATAGTGGTTTCTTTTTGGTGAAGAGGAAACAAATTGCTCAATAAAACGGCAGAGGGATCAGTCAGGCCCACAATAGAGTCAGTTTGGGAAGAAGTAGGTGTTAAGTCGCAAGGGGGCATGCTGGTGGGAAGGTGATGGTGCAGATGTAACCTCCATATACAGCAGAAAGGTTCATTTTATTGAAACAACTTTGAAAATACCTCCACATCTCAGTGCAGCTCAAAAGCAAACAGACCTCCTACACTACCTGCCTGAGCTAAACCAAGAGACAACATTTCTTTGCAGGGCCACCCACTGATAGGAAAGAAGAGACATTTGTGTGAGTGTTTAATGGTCAAACAAAACAAATGAGTCAGTTAGTTCGTCTCTCATCCAACAACGAATACAATAAATCTTGTGTGTATTAAGGCCCTTTAATTTGCACGACTTAGTTCTCCAAGCTTGCTCTGTTGCTCATGCATATCATTTGCATTGTATCTGCTCCTGTATCCTGGTCATTAATCCTTCACTGATGTTGTTCTCATCCAGGCTAAGATGTGTCAATATCTGTGTCCTGCAAAGCAGTGCAGCCATGATGTCATTTCCTCCCACATCACTGATGACGTTCCTGTCGAGATCCACCTGCTGCAGACTCAGGTTCTCTTTCAACATGTCTGCCAGTAGCCTGACGCCAGGGTCCCCCAAATTGTTTTCATCTAAAATGATCTGAGTCAGAGAGGTGTTGCTTTTCAGGCTGTCAAAAAGTTCCTTCCAAGCTGATAGGTCCACACCATTCGTCTGTGCTAGCCCCAGGTACTGTAGATATGAGTGGGATCTCATGTATGATGCCAATACCTTGACCCCATTGCTACCAAGGCCGTTTCCACCGATGTCCAATTCCAAAAGTGCAAAAACCCTAAAAGAGCTCCAACCACCGGGAAGCTGTGAAGAGAAAAGCAATGCCTGCTGAATGGCTGCAGCGGCTGTTGCTGTTTGATCCTGCAGCTCAGCTACTCCCCTTAAAAGGGTAAGCACTCCGTGGTCACGCAGTTTGTTTCCAAACATGCTGCAAGAGGGAAGAAGAACCTTTTTAAAATCAAATTTACATTCCTTTAACAACCCATTACTTTGTTATTACCTAGGGGTGTCAAACTGGTTCCAAAAAGGGCCGTGTGGCTGCAGGTTTTCTTTCCAACCAAGGAATAGCACACCAGACTCCTTTCATCCCATCAAGGCATCAGGTTCAGACTGGACTCACTTGATGAGATGAATGGAGTATGGTGTGCCATTGCTTGGTTGGAAAGAAAACCTGCAGCCACATGGAACCAGTTTGACACCCCTGACCTATTACTATGTTATTACACATATGAATAATGTAAGACAAAGAAGAAGGGATTCCCCCCCCCCCTTTATTCCTCTCTGCTGTTATTAAAAGGGGCGTAAGAAATATTTTAGAGGAAGCATAAGGATGTTGAACAATTTACTTAAACATAGACTATTTCCGCTTATTTCTAGACCTAATGGTTTTAGGGAAATCTTCAATGGCTGTTGAGTCTCTCATCTTTGGTGAGAAAATCTTGCAAATGAAAAGGATACAAAACCCAAGGCTCTAGTTTCAGTGTTTAAAAGGCAAATTAGCTTTGATCCAATCTTGAATGGGACCAGTAGTTGTGCTGTTCCAAGCAGTGAGAAAAAAAAAAACACTTGATACACCAGGGAAGGGTTAGATGAGAACCTTAAGATGGCTATTTTTGATACTTTACAGGTCTTTCCTGGATTTCTACCTCTCTCTTCCTTAAGTAACATCACATTTACCTTTTGTTTGTTTATCATATACTTTAGGTTCCTTTTAATTAGAGCTCACAACTAATACAGACATTGCTGGGATATCAAGGCAATTAGGAACTAAGGAGCAAAAGTGAAGTATCACTTAAAAACATTCCCACTGACATAAATGGAAGTAAGTGAGAATAGGATTTTTGTTGAGCCAGAATAACTTCACATTCAGCCATAGTGAAGACGCTTAGACAGCCAAATACCAACTCCATATCTATTGTGTTTAATTCATACTCTTTGCATTTTAGAGGAACATTATGGCTGACACCTTTTTAGATGCTCCAGTTAATAAAATATCAAAGATCTTTGAATATAAAATTGATTGTCTCAGACTTATTTTTCTCTAACTTTCTAAGATTTTTACTGGAGCCACAGAGACAAGCTTTCCTACTCTGACTATTTTGTTGGGGGGAAAAAATAGCATAAAGGAGGCTAACTAGGAATTTTTTTAAGGGATTAAAAAGTTAAAGCTTACAATTTGGCAGACAAAAATATTCTTTCTTTCTCTTTAACTAAAAACAGGGTTGGTTAAAAAAGTTTAAAATGTCAACTGTTTGCCAGTTTGTGCCTTGTAAAAATGTCTTCTTCAAGTTTTAATCTGATATAATATGACTGGATGGCACCATAGACTTACTGCAAGCTCTGGATCTGCGGTTTTGCTCTCAGGATGTCCAGTAGGATGTGAGCGCCATAGGGGCCAATAAGGTTGAGGTTAAGGTTAAGCAGCGTGACTTCGGATTGGCTGCTTATCAGGGCCCCAGAAAGACTGAATAAAAGATCATCTGTCAGTTCTGTGTTCCTCAGAACCAGCTGCTCCACCTCATCAGATGTGCTCAGCACCATCATCATGGCATCGAGCTGTTCCCAACCCCCAAAAAACAAAAAGTAATTAGGAATAGGTCATCACTAGAGGTTTTCTTGTATATTAGACACATTGAAATGTTAAAAAAACAAAAGTTTATCAAGGAGTTTTCCCTGAAATCTAGAAATGTTAAATATAGCCTGGAGTGCTTGTGTAATCAGGGCACTAATGGTCCTGAGGTATCTGGATCACCTCATAAACATTACTTGTACATTTCCATATGTATTACGGAGGGGGGTTTATAGAAGGAAACAGAAGAAAACTGTAAAAACATTGCAGTAAAAACAAAGACATATCTCAAAAAGAACTGCAAAGTTGATTATATTTTCTTTTGTACATAAATAGATTGACCATGCATGCAAAAATGTGGATGTTAATCGTTCATGCACATGAGAGCAGTAGAGCTTCCGGGCTTCTTAAGTGTTTAGAGAAGAGACATGAACTAAAGGTGGAGTAAATACAAAGACAGGAAAAAGTCCAGGGAGGAGACATATGGTCTGGCTGTTGGCCACGTTGGCAGCATCACTTTGCGAGAGCTTGAGGAATTTTTCAGGAACTACTGATTTTTTTTATTTATTTTTATTCTGATCTGCATGACAAGGCCAGAAACCAAGGCACAGACCATCTGTTGCAATTGTTGGTGCTTTCTGATATTGTGCATAGAAACGGTCTTGTAGGGTTAAATGTTTTTTTAAGTGATTATACTTAATACTAGATACTTTTGTGGGAATGATAAGCTTAGTATTTTGAAAATGATCTATGAATAAACTTATTTGTGAATTCATCTAATCAGAGTATCACATAAAATCACAGAATTAACATCCACAGATTGGCGATAACAGCTGACTAACCTGCAGACACTTTGTGATCCAGATTAGCTTATTATTTGTAATAACGTTAGTTATTGTATGAGTTTAAATAACTGCTCTCTATATTTTCTTTGATGCCTTTATTCTTAAAGACCACATCATTCTTTCACTATCGGTTTTTAGAATTAAATTATTATGTAAGCATACAGTATATATAAATATATCATAGCAGAGGTGATATTTACAGCATCTTCTATACCCTGTATTTTGTAAATACAAACCTAACAGGAATGTGTGGAGAATAATTCAAATCCTCTGTGGTTTATAATAATAAGACTGAATAAGGCAATAGTAATGAAGGTTATTGGATGAAATATCTGTTAGCTTGCCAGCTTTAGGCACAGTATAGGTTTTTTTCTGGCTAATGCATTTTTGTGTCAGTTGAGCCATTTGTCTCTTCCAAATGTTTGTTTGCAGGATAACAGTCTGATGATTTACATTTGTGCATATGCTTTTAGTACACTTGTCCACTTAACATGGATTTGAGCTAAAACTGGAATTGATCCTGGAGGCAGATGACAGCTTCTTCTTCTTTGGAGCCATTATTAGTTTTGGTAATTTCATAGTATTTAATATATTTTCCTAACAGAATAAAAAGCAGATAAGCATTAACAAATACTGGAAAAGCAGGTGGTGCCCTCCTAGAAAATCACAATTACTTATTATAAAAATTAGTATTTAATCTACCTAGCTTAAATAGCTTCAGATATTAATATTACCTATCACAGTTCATTTACATTTTTTTTTTTGTAATGAATAACAGAACCAGAAGATCTTTAGATTGTAATGTGTTTAAGTAAGTCACTACATAGGTTGGAGCTTCTGCCCAAGCAATTTCCCACCTGTTTCAATGATCAGCAATGATCTTCATCACAGCTCTAGTGTTATACTGTTCAAAAATACAACATCAAATTGTTTATTATTCATCTTTCTGTCTTCCTTAGCCTTGGAATCCTCTACAGTGATCTGAGGTGTTAAAGCTTGTCTTTATTAGGAGGTGAGACACCTGAACAGGTCACCAGTCCAGACACAAGCATTCTGTTTTATAAGCAGGATGTTTATACCACCCTGATTTAAAAACAATTTTGATATTGTTTTTGTTATATCCTTTCACCAAGCAAACAATACATCAAAACAGTTACGATGGTTCCAACTTTATGTTTAGCAATAAACAAACTCAACCGCACTAACCTAAAGTAATTTATCGCTGCGTATAAGAACCATGTTTACAGAAGCGCACATTGCAGAAGCCCAGAGAGTTATGCTCTGAAGACTTTTGTTTATTTCCATCTCACAGAAAGCCATAACAATGTTTATCTTTGTTTCTGCCTTCGCTCTCCCATATTTGCCTTTTTTATTACCCACCACTTTTCAAAAACGTGCCCTAAAACTTAAAAAAAAACTAAAGTTTTACATTTTATCACCTGATTTTGGCTTCTAATATCCTGTCTGAGTCTCATGCTGTTTTCTTCATGCCTTTTTGAGGTTGATAGTCTGGGAGTTTAATGTTGTAGAATACAAACAGAAATATTAGCATTCTATCTGAAAAACACTGTAGCCTATGATAATATAATCATGTTTAATCATAGACCCTGCACATTAAAGCAGCCCTTATGACAATATTCCTCTTGGTGATTATTGCAAAGGTGCTATTAGAATAAACAAAAGCTCAATCAATGGGATGAACTTTAGAGGAGAGCCACTGGCCTGATTTAAAGAATAGCATTGATCAAATCATCATGGCTCAGCTGAGTGAGATTGGAAAAGGTTTTAAGGAAGAGTTGTTATTATTTATCGGCCTGACAAAACCAGCTTCATAAAGAGACAGCAAATCAACCAAAAAATTCAGGACCGTTGTTAATCCTCATTAGGAAGCATCAACAAGGATCATTACACGCTAGTCAAGGAGGGAGAAAAGAGCTGAGATCATAGCCAAAGCAGAAATGTGAAGGTAGCTTTAATTACTATTAATGAGTCACAGGAAAACTGATTAACAAAAATTCCGCTTGTGCAAAAGAGTACTTTGTCATTCATGGTCACTTGAGACTAAATTTATAAAAATATTTATCCAACATACAGCTAAAACTATGTGTGTTTTAGGACAGTTAAAATGCAGTTTAGTCTAATTACAAAAACACCATTAATTGAAGCATAGCGGTGGTGCTATCATGGGACAGGAATATTCTAATTAGCATCAACAAGGATGGCTTTCCATTAACTATATAAAAATAAAAAATAAATGTTGGTTGATTTGAAAGTCCTGCATCAAGACAATAAATCAAAAGAACAAAAAAAATAGTTTTACTAAATTAATAAAGATTTTACACTATTGGACTGTTCTTGAAGGACACAAACTGAGCTGTAAATGGAAGGAAGCTAAACAATATTCTATGCCTGAAGAAAAAGCTGATGTTCAGTGTATATTAGCTATTTAAAGTTGGAAAGAAAAATCTTAATGATAGGAAAAATAAGGACTTGTATAAAAATGTTATGGTTTCAGTTGTTTTCAAAAGAAGCAGTTTACAAATATCAAAGCACTGCAGTGGTTCCATAAAAAAATTGATGAATAAATTCAGTGCACTTAAAGAAAAGGAAACTCTGTATGCTACGATGAAAGCATATACTTGAACATTTCTTAAAAGACAAAACGACAGACTGATTTTTCATAGCATAATTTTCATTTCCGTAATTAAATTAAAATGTTTTTAATTTTCATAACCTTGGATGCTACTCCTAAAACTTGAACAATTTAAGTTATCAACTGTTTATTTTTCGAGTGTTGTTACTTAAGTACATGTTTACATTACATTTCCCAGTCTTACAGTACACTAAGTAATGCAAACCTGTGCATAATGCCTCAGTCTGTTTTACCTGCAGTGTCACAGCTATTACTTTTAAGCCAGCAGTGCTTCTGGCAGAAACAAAGATTCTCCACAGCACATGTGTTGGACACATACCTGTGCCTGCAGGTCCTGCTCTGGAACAGCCTCTACTTTGGCAGCATCCTGGCCTGCAGAGTCCTCCTCCTCCTCAGGCTCTCCATTGGGTAGTGGTATTGTATCACTTTCGGCACTTAGCTCCAGATCAGAGCTCTGAGCTTTGAGGCCCTGTGATGACAGCTTCCTCTGGAACCGATACCTCTCTAAGACTTACAGAGAAAATAAAGCAACTAATGGGTGGTATAACTGCGATAAAGAAGACGCGATTTGAATATGTGAGTGAAACTAATATTCCGTTTCTGCATTCATTAAGCAAAAGAGAAAGTGAAAGTGTTTAGATTTATGGATATGGGAATACGTGAGTCTGCGTAGGCAACATGTATAATCTCTCCCACACATCATCAATCTTCCTTCAAGCAGAATCTACTCAGCGCACTTTCTTGCAAATTCAGGCGTTTTTTTTTTTTGTTTGTTTGTTTGTTTCTTTTCCCTAAAGTGTGTTATGTAAATGAGTTACAGTCCTCCAGTGGGAGTCATTTTAATTCTGCTGTTATGCATAGTCTGTACTCACTGTTTGCCTTGAACCAGTGTTTGTTTGGGCTCTGGTTCAGCTCGGCGCTCATTTCCACACACTCTTTATAGAAGTCCTTCAGTGTTCCCTCATCTCTGGTTTTCCCGTCTGACTCTAGGCTTCTCTGCTTCTCACTTTTCTGCTTAGTCATTCCCTTAAAATCCTGCAAATAATCTTTAAAAAAGAAATGCTCCTCTTTAGAGAAAAAAATCTGGGGCCAAAGGTTTTGATAGCGGCAACAGTGTTATGTTTTGCAGAATTAAAACCGCAGTTTTCGAGGTCTCATTTTATGTTAGATTATTATTCAAAGTGATCAGATGTGTATTTATTGCTTCAAAATAAAGTATTTGCTGAAAAGGTTTTTGAAACATCATGTAAAGTTACTGCAGTCAGGACATGAACATAGCTTTAACTGGGAAAAAGTACAACTTACATCCTTTAAACAAGGATTGATATAAATTAGGAACAGATGGGCTTGAAGTAATTAACTCAGTATGTTAGCAGTGTTCACCTCGACAGAATCAGCTGTGTGGCGTCATGCAACAAAACCCACAGTTAAGAGTATGTCACAGATAATCAAGAACATTGAGCTTAGATATTTAGTTGGGGTGAAGTGATAAAACTTTCATTTTCTAAGGAGGTACAATATATTATAACACCAGTTTAGAGCTTGCTTTATTTTCTTAGGAAGCAAATATGTGATTTTTGTACAATAATGTTGCTGCTAAAACCTTCGGTTAGGAGAATGAATCCCACTCAGAACATGAGATTAAATCTTAAAAAGTTAAAGGTTAACATATCATCAATATATTAACTCTCCAACTCTATATCTAGTACATCAATGTAAGTTGAAAAAAAATGTCAACAGTAGTTGATTTAGATGTCATCATTTTGTGATAATAGTCTCCCATAAGATCTAGGTCGATTACAAAGTCGTGATCCAAGTTCAAAACCCTAAAATTAGAATTTTAAGCCTAAATATATAGGGTTAGGGTTAGGGTTAGGGTTAGGGTTACACTTTAAATTATTAGTTTAGTTTTTTTTTTTTTTTGCTTGAAGAACCTTCTACTGGCACTGAACTGATTTTCTTTATTTTTCTGTCCTGTTTACTGTACCTAATGTATAATGTGAGTATTATACTACCAAGATGTTTCACTTCAACATTGTACATCCAACATCAAAGTAATGAAACCAACAGCGATGATCAGCACTTACCAGCAGTTTTACTTGTCTTGATTGATTGTGATGGTGGCTGTTCTTTCTGCAGCCTTGTGGCATCCTGTGTTGTTTTTGAGTGGTTTGGTTTGTGTTCTGTCTGCTCTTCAGATTTTCCAGTCACTGTTGATCTCTCCAAGCCTTTGCCGCTTTGCCCCTCTTCCCCTCTGTTGTTCAAACCCGTCTTTCCCTTGCTCTCTTTCTGATCACTTTGACCCTTGCGTTCTTTCCTCCTGGATCTTTCTTTCATTCCAGCAAAAGCAGCATCTTCACTGTCAGTTGATCCTCCACTTCGCTCCTTAAAGTGTTTTCTTGGTCTTTTCACTGATTTCTTCTTGGGTTTGACTGGGATAAAAAGAGGGGATGATGGACATGACTCGATGGGGCCTTTACGGGAGAAAAAATAAAAGAAAATAAGTCTTTGTGATTCATTTTTTTATTTAGACTATTCCCCTGAAATGCTGGGTGGGCACAATGTCAAAAAAAATATTGATGAATAAGCTTTGGGAAGTAATAGAAAATGGAGACACTCATTTTCAGGCTTTGTACCACTGCCAGTGCTCAGCTCAACAGGGAGAATTAAGTTTTCCTTTGTGCCGTTGTTCAGTTGTTGGCAGGAGCTGTATTTTTGTCGGAGACTAGTGCATCTGAAAAAGATGAAAAATGTGCTTTCATAATGAGTCATATTTCCTCTCCTGTGCCTCCATCATCACTTCCATCAATTTCTTTTAAGCAGTCTGCCCCTTTTTTTCCCCAAATGCCTCAAGCTAGATTTGCCTAGTTTGTTGGTACTTATTACAAATTTTCTGCCATTGAGTTTCTCTCCTGTCTTCACAGGATGAAATCTGACCTGTAACAAGGTGTTCCACCAGCCAGCCAGCTCAGTCTGAAGCAGCTTTTCCTACCCTGCTGAAAGCCAGGAGCGTAGCGGTACTCGCAGCAGGAGCTGATTCGAGCTGCCATGATGCCATTGACGTATAACGAAGCACTGAAGGGGAAACCTCTGTGCCTCTGAGATACAAACTGAAACTGCTCTGAGAAATAAAATGGACAGAAATTAAGGATTTATAAAATATTATATCCTTTGGTTAAGACTAATAGTTTTCATTGGTTATTGGTCTATCAGTATTCTTAAGAATCAAACTAAGTTTATTTTATTTTGTCAGTAAAAAGTTAATCACGGCCCAGGGACGTCAGAAATAAACAGTCCTGTGGTTTCCAGGATTCATAAACATTAAAACATTGTTGGAAAGCTGCAACTTTGGGAAATCAAATTTAGACTGCTCTCTTATTGCTGAGCACGAATATTTTCTCCTTTTGCTTTACCTGGCATCCTATCACAATGCTACCACAACCGCTACTAAATCTAAATAAGAATATTTGCTCGCTAGCGATGGAAATTCAGGATCTTTTGAGAAAAATGGATTTTATGGTTCAATTTCATTTTCTAATGTTGGCTACAGAACATACATTGTAAAAAACGTACTCATTGAACTTGTCGTTGTCTGCCAATATAAAAAAATAATATAATATAAATTTATAATCTGCTTGTGGCAGTTATTTGTAAAGCTTGATTGGAATAACATTTTACTTTAATCTATGCTTTGTCCTTGAATGAACTGAAATACATGTTCCATAAAGTCTTGCAGTTCTCTGTCTCTCTCTTTTTCATTTGTTCGACAAGAGTAATCTTTTTTTGACAGCCAATAGACAGGAAATAGGTATAAAGAAAATAGGAGACGGACCTTCAACACACTCGAGGCTGTGGATTCATTCATTCATTCATTCATTCATTCATTCATTCATTCATTCATTCATTCATTCATTCATTCATTCATTCATTCATTCATTCATTCATTTCCTTTATCTTTTATTCTCCCCTGTCTGTCTCTTCCCTGCACAGACCTTCCCTGTTCAGACACAGATATTGCAAAAGTGTTCATTAGACACCTTAAAGGAGAAAAGAAAAGTGAAAAAGAACCCAAGCTGATACAGAACTTGAATTGAGCTTATTAACTTTATAAATTGGCTTTTTAACTGTTTACTTGTCTTATTAAGCCTTTAATTTAACCTATTAACTTCTTTTCATTTTTACTTAATTTACATTAGGTAACATATCACCCACAAAAGGCAACGTTAGATTACGGGTGCTATTCTACAAAGCAGATACACTCAGCTTCAAGACAGAGGGGGACCTAGTAGACCCTGCAGGCCACATTTGACCTCACTGGTTTAAGTTTTTTGCTGCAAAGTTACCAAAAATTAAAACTTGGACGATATTGGGTTAAACCAGTGTGTGAAATACCTGTCAATATTTGGGGGGGTCCCCATCTCCATTATTTTCGTAACGTTGTTGTCAACGTTGTGTCTTTCTTCTGTTTAACATGTTTAATTTGCATACGCGAACAGGATTGGCTGGCTCCACTTGGCAAATAACAGAACATATTTGTGAATAAATGTTTTGAATTTTAAATACTGGACTGGACAGCTTAGAAACATTTTAGTGACCATTAGTGACAAAAATATTTAATTTTAAATACTTTTCTTTTTTTACACAATTTAAGACCCCCTTTAAATTTTGCTTTTGAGGCTTTCAGCGGGTCTCAGGGGTTAATCAGGGGGGTCGAGCCCCCCGGACCCCCCTGTATTTCGCACTCTGGGTTAAACCATATCAGAGGATACAGATAAGTTACTATGGCTGAGTTCATAGTGAACCACAGTGTGACAGCATATTGTGCATCTGACAGGGACTGCTTTCAAACAGAAATTATGCATGTAAAATCATCAACAAGGTGTCCTTTTACTGATCACTCTGAGCTGATCACCCTAAAGCCTGAGGCATGTTTGAATACCATCGTTTTTTGTGAAATTGCATTATAACATGCAGGGTCTTGTCCTTTTTCCTTGTCAGTCCTTTTCATTGTTGGATGCCAGAGCTTCTGTTTGTCACTGTTATATACTTTGATTTTGCAGTTAAACTTCAGTTATGTCTGAAAAACACACAATTTATCTCAGTTTTAACCTATAAATTGCAATATGTAGGTCTGTGAAACGTGTGGATTGTTATATCAGGCAATATGGCCTCAAATATTCTTATGACCAATTGACAGCGATGCACTTACACTAACTTAATACAGTCTAAACTGAGACTTTGTGTTTTGAAAAGAAACTAAGAAAGGTACATAAAGTGGGTGTATGTTTTGTTGAAGTGATTAGAAAACAGCATGTTTCAAGGTTTGGCACCTACTTGGGTGGAAATGTCTATTTATTGTAATAGATTATTAAACATTAGCTTTTTTCTCATCTAAATAATTTACAGCAGCTTGGGTTGATATCAGAATAATAGAGGTTTGTAAATTACCTCCTGCTGAAACGAGGCCCTTAAAAACACAGAGATTTTCTCCTCCATTGATTTGCTGAAGAATTTTCAGTTCATCCCGAATAGACCTTGAGTGTGCTCGCCGCTGACCTTGCCCCAGGTACGTCATGGTCACTGTCACATTGGCTTTCTTAGCCTCTTTTTGTGCTTTTAGGCTACTCTGCTATAAAGAGAGAAAATTACATGCAAACCAGTTTTAAAGGTTACGTTACACGTGAAAACTTTGTTCTCCAAGTAGAGGTGTTTGGAGCAGATAAAACAGAGAAAAAACTGTGAAAGAATCTTTTCCTGGGCATCACAAAAAATCACCTGCATTAGAATTGTTGCGACACATTTATGTCCCTTTATGAAACTGAATAATTAATTTGTAATTTGGTGGCATCTCCTGGGTCAAGGCTATTCTGACAACAAAACAAGACCAATGCATAGTTAGGCATTGCATTGTTATGACTGTGTAGAGGTCATTGAAGAGGTTGTTGAAGTACAGTGAACTCATCGCTGTGATGTTGACATTTTGATTGATCCAAACTTTTTGACAGGGTAGATTATCCTGAGAGAATTAGCAACCAATTGATGGAAGGATTGTGGTCTTGAGGAAATTTACATGGCTTGCGATAACTGAGCCGGGTCAAAAGTGTCTCAAGAAAATAATTCCCACATCATTAAACTGCTGGCTGCAGCTTAAGTGGCTGATACAGAGCAGGATAGATCCAAGTTTTTATGTGGTCTGGATCAGACCCCGATCTGTGATCCGTGTGTGACAGATGAACTGTAGAGTTGTTGAACCTGGCAACTTCTTTCCCAATCTGTTAAGATCCCATTTTGGATATTATGGGTGAGTTTTTTCCATGCTTTTCTGTTATTAGTCAACAAGAGCTACTCCCACTGGGGTCTTCTGTTGTCGTGGCCCATCAGCTTCAAGGTTACACAGTGTGCGATCAGAGATCGAACTCCATTTACCACAGTTATGCTTTTTTGAACACCTCCAAACAGTCTTCCTGTTCTCCTTTGATATCAGCCATACGTCGCCCACTCTGGGTTTTTTTCTTCTCTTTTTTCAGACCTCCTTGGGTTTAAGAGACAGTTATATGGGAAAATCACAATATGTGAGCAATTTCTCATAAACTAAGATTCTTCCATCGAATGTAGAATCAAAGAACATTCTACATTCAAAGACTCTTTTGATTTATAATATAGGTTAACAAGCATTGGAAGATGTCTACCTAATGAAGTGGCTGGTGAGTATGTAAACATACACTATATTGCCAAAAGTATTTGCTCACCCATCCAAATTATTGGAATCAGGTGTTCCAATCACTTCCATGGCCACAGGTGTATAAATTCAAGCACCTAGGCATGCAGACTGTTTTTACAAACATTTGTGAAAGAATGGGTCGCTCTCAGGAGCTCAGTGAATTCCAGCGTGGAACTGTGATAGGATGCCACCTGTGCAACAAATCCAGTCGTGAAATTTCCTCGCTCCTAAATATTCCACAGTCAACTGTCAGCTGTATTATAAGAAAATGGAAGTGTTTGGGAACGACAGCAACTCAGCCACGAAGTGGTAGGCCACGTAAACTGACGGAGCGGGGTCAGCGGATGCTGACGCGCATAGTGCGAAGAGGTCGCCAACTTTCTGCAGAGTCAATCACTACAGACCTCCAAACTTCATGTGGCCTTCAGATTAGCTCAAGAACAGTGCGCAGAGAGCTTCATGGAATGGGTTTCCATGGTCGAGCAGCTGCACCCAAGCCATACATCACCAAGTGCAATGCAAAGCGTCGGATGCGGTGGTGTAAAGCACGCCGCCACTGGACTCTAGAGCAGTGGAGACGCGTTCTCTGGAGTGACGAATCGCGCTTCTCCATCTGGCAATCTGATGGACGGGTCTGGGTTTGGCGGTTGCCAGGAGAACGGTACTTGTCTGACTGCATTGTGCCAAGTGTAAAGTTTGGTGGAGGGGGGATTATGGTGTGGGGTTGTTTTTCAGGAGCTGGGCTTGGCCCCTTAGTTCCAGTGAAAGGAACTCTGAATGCTTCAGCATACCAAGACATTTTGGACAATTCCATGCTCCCAACTTTGTGGGAACAGTTTGGAGCTGGCCCCTTCCTCTTCCAACATGACTGTGCACCAGTGCACAAAGCAAGGTCCATAAAGACATGGATGACAGAGTCTGGTGTGGATGAACTTGACTGGCCTGCACAGAGTCCTGACCTCAACCCGATAGAACACCTTTGGGATGAATTAGAGCGGAGACTGAGAGCCAGGCCTTCTCGTCCAACATCAGTGTGCGACCTCACAAATGCGCTTCTGGAAGAATGGTCAAAAATTCCCATAAACACACTCCTAAACCTTGTGGACAGCCTTCCCAGAAGAGTTGAAGCTGTTCTAGCTGCAAAGGGTGGACCGACGTCATATTGAACCCTATGGATTAGGAACGGGATGTCACTTAAGCTCATATGTGAGTCAAGGCAGGTGAGCAAATACTTTTGGCAATATAGTGTAGCTTAAATATAAAGCATGAATCAGATAAACAGTCAATTCACCTGTTTTTCTGTATGAACTCTTGTTCTCTGTGAAGTAACTGATGAGAAGGATCCTCTTCTTTTTTCATATAGATAAGGGCAGGACTGACTCAGGGCCCTGTTGAGGGAGTTAAGGCTTGAGGCTTTTTTGGGAATGGCTGGAAGATATAGGTCACCTCCTTCAGATTTTCTGGGATCATTTAGCTACATCCAGCAAACACACAAATAAATACAAAAAGAGTTTTAGTCATTTTCAGAGCCTGTTGACTCTCAGCTGGATTGTGTGGGGAAAAAATAAATAAAAACATCTGAACAGGAAGCTCTCTTGCACAGTCAAACCTTTCTTACTGCCTTTATGTTTATGTCTAGCTCTTAAATATTGTGCAAATTATTCAAGAAAATAAACAACATCTTCAACATATCCAGTCTTTATAGCTGTGTGCTTCTAAGCCAATCCAAACTGCAATCTTGTATCTTGGCTCCCCCCAAAGGGAGTTGAAGGTACTGCAGAAGTGAAAGTCAGATAAACAATTATTGTATTTTTCATTTTTTTTAAACACTAATTAAAACTAAATTGCCCTAAAAGATGTTTTTAAGCTGTAAGGGAAGAAACACACACACACAAAAAAATCATTTTCTGTATTTCTATGTAAATACATAGAAAGTATTTCAGTATCAGGATCAATACATTTTAAAGCAAATATAAAACAACTACTTGTGCATATGGTTTACAGTTCTAGCTATTTCATGGCATACATGTTGTGATTTAAATTTCTTATTTATTGCCTTGTTTACATTTTTAAGCATAATAGGATATAAGCAATTTTAGACTTTATAAAAGTGACCTACCTTGTAGATTTCCACTGTATCAGGATTCTCAAAAAGGAGCATTTTGTTCTTTGCCCTGACTAGACTGGCAATGGGGTGAATCATTTTGCTATCTCTTGATTGTGATAGGATCTGTGTGCAGAAGTAAATCAATCATACATGCAAACTATGTCAATAAAATGGATCAGAAAAATACCAATGAGACTCACATGAGTATATGCGTCTCTTTCGGGAATTGCCTTGTCATACAGATCTTGAAGAAGTGTCCTGCTGTTTCTCCAAGTTCTTCTCATTGACATGCTCTGCTTTGACCTAAATTGAAAGCTACGTCTCAGAGAGACACATAATATCATGTTTATTTTATGAAACACAATATTCATTGCTTTTTAGAAGTTCATTCTTTATGACAGTATTAACATACAGAAGTGAAAATATACATGACAAGAATTAGGAGTACAGAGAGTGTCAAGGGTTCTGCACTAAAGCATGATATAAATTTTAAACAAGATGGTGGATATAGAATGTCTTTCGATTACAGTCCGTTTTTCTGAAGGAAATCGCATGGCTAATTCTTATGGAACTATGCTTTCTAATATTTTTTTGCCTTAGTATTGGCAGTTTTCATTTTCAAATAAGATCATTTAAAAACTGCTGAATGTATTTATCCCGAATATCTTTGTCTCCTACTGAAATTCGTGTGATGATCTGAAACACGCAGAGATAAGAAAATTAAGAAATCTGTATGAAGTAAATACTTCTTCACAGCCCTGTATTTATTTGATACATTATTAAGAACTCCTCCGAGATGTTTTTATTTGTTATATATGGTTGAAACATTTTTCAGTTCTATCAAGACTTCATAAATATTACATTTTCACATGTTTATGCTATTCACAAGTCTCCTTGTGAATAGCATAAACATGATGCATGATGGATATTTTAATGGACACCTAAGAATTACATTTTAAGGATTATGTCAGATAAATCTATAGGAGAAAAAAATGAAGACAATGTCATTGGCTTTGGGAGTTTGCTGAGTTTTGCAGGACAAAGGGTTGTCGGTTAAAGCTCTGGCTATCACCACTACCACTATCAGTGAGTGCGTGACTGGGGATGAAGGTAGCGTAAAGCACTTTGGTCAAGTCTTCTGTCTTGAAAAAGCACTATTTAAGTAAAGGCCATTTACCATTTAAAAATATATTCCTGTCATTGAGAGTAAATGAGTTATATGATGCGACATTGCAGGGCACCAACAGTTAAATGATTTATTTATATACATGAAAGAATCAAATAGCTTATACTTGTATATTAGTCAATCTTGTCATGTAAGATTCTGGCTAATTTTGAAAAGGTTATCTAATATGTATTGGGTATACAGAAGCAGCAGAGAGCAGGATAGGTTTGGTCAGAGCAGGATGTAGGAAATAACTCACTCAGGCAGAATGAGGTGAAGTCATGAGATTAGTGTTTGAAGGTGAAAATGGATTTAGTCTTCTTCTTCTCACCTGAGCGGATGGGCTGCTGTGATCCTTCAGATCAGTGAATTCACTCAGGCACAATAAATGCTCTGTGGTACCCAATGTGTTAAAAGGAAAAAAATCTCCCCGGAAAGATAACACTGAGATGACAGTGGTCTTTGTTTTTTCAAATGCTCACTAACAAGTCTCCATTGTTCCTTTACAGCTGACAGTGAGATGTGGTACATGAAACCTAATAACTGCATCTGCTGCCATGTCATCCAATGGACTGAGGGATTCTGGTAAAGGAGACAGCAGGCATGCATATCTACTTACTCTGCAGTGCAGGTCAACATTATTACCAACTAGAGGTGTTGGTAATAATTCTAGAGGTGTGTTCGAATAGAAAGAAAAAGTCTAGCCTCCTTTGTAGAACAATAAAAAGATAGATTTTTAGGTACATTTACAAAAGGGAAAAAACACCCCACATAAAAAATAAATCTTTTTTTTTTCTTTTTAACAAAACTACCAGTCTGAGTTATCATAATGAATTAGTAATCGACCCTGTTTCTTGGCATATGAATATAATGTATTATTGTATTATTATTATTTAAGATGGGAAAGATCTCATCCTGCTCAGGCTGCAAACTGGAGCTTTGACATACAAGATTAGATGAAGCTTTAGGTTTATCTCTCCACCATACACATGTAAAAGAGTTTACTGCAGTAAATATGAGGAATCCAGTGGCAACCAATTCTCAATCAATATATACCAGAGCTTTTACAGTTTTAATTAATTTTAAAGTCAAAAAAACGTTCTAACCACTGCTAGAATAAGCTAGAATTATCATCTTTGTTCCTCAAAGCTATAAAAAATTAAAACAATGAGATATAAGTCTATTTTCTTTTGGTGAAAAGAAAGACCTTCATATGCTATTTTTAAATACATATTTGGATCAAGCTGATCATTTCCGGTATTAACTCTTCATGGCAGGTGACTGTATTACTTGTCTCAACTTTGAACACAGCAAAACTCCAGCCAGAGCCGCAAAGTCAATGAATCAATTGCTCCAACGAATTCATTAATCCTGATTTCAAAGCAAATGTTAAGGAGTCTTTCTGTTGCAACACTCCCTATTTATGGAACAGAGCCAAGAGCCAATCGTGCTATTGACATTTTAAACAGATGTAGAACTGTGATAAAATTGTTTAATTAAAGCAGAAAACAGCAAACACCATACATATTAAACAGAAAACAGAAGCCGTAAAACGTGGAATTGTTTCTTAGCTCATTGAATTAATCCACACAGCACAGAGGCCTTACCTGCTACCGTGTCAGTTTAAGGAGCTGAATGTGTCTTTTTGCAGCAGGTGATCTGATACCTGCACAGCTGCTGATCTCCTGTTCTCTGCTCTCACGCTGCCAGCTGGTGACACCTGAGCGGTTGAAGCCCTGACACTGGCTCTTCATGCACCTTTAATTAATTTCCACTGACCGTTGTTCATCACTCCTCACTTAGGGGTTATTAAAAGGTTTAAGGAAAAACTTATTTTACTTCAAGTAGTGCAACATTTGAATTTTGGATCTTAATTATATCTGTTGACAGCAAATTCTGTATTGCATTTGCAAAGTTAAAAAAGATTTAGACTTTTGATCAAGAAGAAAAAAAAAAAAAAAAAAAAAGTGACATGTTAGAGTTTGAGTGATGGTTTTATGTGGATGGATGAAAACGTTATGCATCTAAACTTATTTCATTGCATTTTTAGATCAGATGTAAAAAACAATGTTTAGTTTAAAGCAGGGGAACACAGGATGCACACTGATAATGTCTTTGTTGTTTTTTGTTATCATTCAGAAAGATAAATCAGCTTTAAATTTGTTTTAAATTAGTGTTTATGTGTTATTTCTGTAAACCTTTAACCAGAGTTTATCCTGTATTAACCAGTTATTCCTAGATGCTCTGAAACATTCCCTATTACCTTCTTTATCAGTTTGTTCCCTAAGAAGCTGGACCCAAAAATCTATGGCAGGAGAGATTTCACTGTACTGAGACATAGAGAAGGCCTGACACATCCATCAAACAGAGGAACCAAAAATTCCTCAAGGAATCCAGTCTCTACAGCATTACTATGGTATTCTAGCCCAGTCTATACCCCACTTCTATTCCCACCTCTTCTCCATGATATAAATAATGTTTGACATATTTCTTTTTTCTCCTTGGACCTATTGCAGTCTTATATTTTAGGTTTACATATATATATTTTTCAGATTAGATGATTTTCCTGACACCATACCAATAGTTATTTGTAAACACCTGTCTACTGTAGAATCCCTGTATTTCTGTTGATAAAAACATAAACATAAAGTCTGTGATGTGCAGATGGAGCGCATTGCCCTGTAGAGCAATTAGGCTGCTGACCACCTGGACAGACCCACAACCTATCAGTCTCACAAACTGGTATTTTCATCAGGTCCAAGACAACATGATGGCCTACAATTCTATCCTATGGAGTTTCAGCAATAAATCAGACCGAATTGCAGTAAGTAATCTTGAGCAATCAAACAACACTTAGTTTGGATGACGGTGGGATTGATGAAGTAGGTTCATTACGGCATCTTGGACTTTAACCTAATGATGATTGACAAATTGCAGTTTATCTAGAAAGGTGATTGTTTACTTAATTTTTACTAAAGATCGATAGGAGTCTCTCAAGTACTTTCATTACATGTCATTTTAGAGCAACAAGTCTATAGTCAGTTAAAACATATGGATGTGATCTCCTGGGTATTGGAACAAATCAACATGTCTGTATTTGTCTTCTCTTTGGATGAGGTTAAGATGGATGGAGCTTTTTGTCTGCTCCTTTAGTGTTATTTGCCATTAAATCCCTCTGTTACAAATGTTCTTTGTTGCTCTGTGTCTTCTAGATGTTTTGGTAAGCTTTTCTTTTATTTTTGTCACACCTCTTTATCTTTAAACATATTTGTATTCCTTTTGAGGTGTTGTGTTTCAGATTTGGATGTTGTTTCTTTGCTTCTGTGGTTATTTTGAGGCACATCAAAACTACTTTTTAAACACAAATGTTCGTATTTATGTTTATCCCCTCTTCTGCACAGCTTTTGTTTGTTTCTTCTTGGTGTTTATCCTGTTCTCTAGTCTCTTTAGAGTTTTTTTTTGTATGCTTTCCAGAACAACCTCCCATGTGAATATTATTATATTATTATTATTATAGACAAACAGACTAGTTGGGGTTTATAGTCTATATTTAGGTTAAACTTTACAAGATATTCTGAAAGTTTTGAAATTTACCTAGAACATGACAAAACATTACAAGAAATTCTGACACCTCTAACCTTCCTTTAATATCAAATAAAAAGGTTTGGTGTCATGCAGTAGACCACTAGCATGTGAAAGGTAAGATAGGATGACCCCAAGTCAGGAAAAGCGGCTATTTTTAAGACAGCTCTCTGAGCTGTCTGAATGGTTGTACTGTGCACTACAGACCTAAGCTTTCTCAGAAAAAACCCGGCATGCCAAGCGCTTACAAGCTCCATGCAGCTTCTTATGCACTGTGGCACATTCAAAGAGCCTCTGGAGGCCATGCTCTCAGCCTGCCTGCTGGATCCATTACATTCATAAGATGATAGGGGGTCTGAGTGTATTTGGCTTGGCAGCACAACGTTTGCGCCCTGCCATGTTCACTGATGAAATGTGTCAGTTTGTTACAGGCTCCGTCACACACCTCCGCCAGAATCCTGGATGGTGGCAGATTAAGTGAGCTGAGCTTTGCAGGAGCTGGGATTTGTCCTTTTTTACAGCTCGCCATCTTTGAGGGTCAAGGTTTGTAAATGCCATTAATTAGCAAGACGGAAATATGCACATGAGACATTAGTAAGAGTCTGGAACTTCTTTGTAAAATCAAAGCCCTTTACCGGAAGATTATGTTATTACCTGCAATTACAGGCAAGTTTAATCACCTCACAGTTATCCTTTTGATGGGTTTTTAATTTCCTACAATCCTTCTCTAACGATACAGTAAGTTATAATGAGCATGAGCCTAAAGCATGGATAAGAGGAGATGAAGATCACATCATCCTATCCTTGTCTGTGGTATAAAAATAAAATATTGTGTAAATAATCCAGTTATGCAAATGTATTAATTTATCTTATCTTTATGGTGAGGTTGCTCATGCTAGTCATTTATTTTAATACCTGGTGCCAGGTACATGTCATTCCCAGTAAAGATGTTAAAATGCCTTTAAGTAACTCTAGCTTCTATTGTAGATAGAATTATCTCTGTCTGAGTGATAAAAAAAAAAATAATAATTTTAGCATATTCATTAAATGAGTAAAAGATCTTTGGATATAATTGCTTTTAGAAAAATATGACATTTAATAAAATGTAACCTTTGCCTAACACCAAGGGTTTCATTTTCTATAGAATTTCAAAAAGTTAAAGGGATCTACAGTACGACCTTCATCTTTCATAACCTCTTTAGATAGATCCATTAATTCACTCTTTTTCTTAGCTTCTCCAAAAGGATTTCTGTTGGATTTAAGTCAGGGGACTTTATAGCATCAGAGATCCTCCACCATACTTAACATGGGCATGAGGTGCTTTTCCACAAATGTATTCGTTTCCAGTCAGGCTGTGTTTGTTTTCAAAATGGCTGATGTTAGCTTCAACTAACCAAAGCCCAAGGTTACGATTGAAGAAACAGATGGGAAAATAAATCCTGACCAAGAAAAATATCAACCAAAAAATTGGTTAATTAAAAAGCAAAAACATATTTTACAAAGGGAAATTTGTGAAACCTTTGATAAATATTTTGCAGTTATAAAGGCTTGTAGATGTATATAGATAATTTGGATTGTTTCATACATATAGGTCGACATGAAATAAACTGACAACAGACAAATGTTTGTGTTTCTAATTTTAAAACAGCATATTTTTGGCTCCTTTTGCTAGAAGTTTGGACATCAATGCCTTACACATTTACATGCATAATTTCAAGGGACAACATACTTTTTTTCTGTGTGCAGCTCAATAATGACAGTTGAAATGTAAATAATGTAGTTTTAATTAAGTCCCTCAACAATTTAATCCTCCCAATAAATGTTTAATTGATTAAAATTAAACTAATTGTTGGGGATACCAAAAATTTGGGTCCAGTGCACTTTTAACATTGGTACTTACTATAGCAAATCTCTTATCATGCTGCAATGATATATATGTGCTGAAGTAGTGTCCCCATTCTATTTTGACTTTTCTAAAAAGTCCAACTGGCAAAGCAGTAACCCCTGGCTGGATTTCAGATCTAGTGTTCAGAATAGAAGGAGTGAAACCAAAAACTTGGGTTCTTTTCTCTCAACCAGCAGGACCAATGTGAGTTGAAGGAGTGAAAGGGCAATGCTTCCTCTGGCTCATTACCACCACTGAGGTGCCCTTCAGTATCAGCTCTCAGAGGACCGAGTAAATCTGCAGTCAGTTGTTTCATTGCAGTCAGGGATAAGTCTCAGAGTGTGAGCAGGGCATCACCTGAAAAGGTAAACTGTTCTCTGTAAAACCATCTTTGTTTGACAAAAACTTCTAGCTGCCAAAATAAATGTGTTTTTAGAGAACTGGAAAGGCAGATACAAGACAGATGGGCATGAACAGATTTCAACCCCACATCCCATCAAAACATTTATATTCTTCTTCAGGCTGGCAGGGAAAAAAAATGCTTCATATGAAAAGCATACTAAATTAGTTACTAAAAACTAAAAAGTTCCTCTTCTACTTCTTTTGTAAAATAGAAAAGTACTCTTCTCTTTTTTTTTACAAAAAAATAGGACTTTTACTCAATTATAGCAAAATAACCCTAAAATATCCCCTGCAGGTTGTGCCAGGTTGAACACCTTTATCAAATTAGAAATGAATCTGGTTTTCCTAGTGTTCTAATGGTAAATAAATATTTGTGTGATCTGTTAATACAATTAAAGGCTAAATATGTGATTGTTAACATGCGCAGGATGTGAGCAAACAACACACTAACACAGGGTTCTGGTTTGATCAAAAAATGCAAACATCCCATAATGTCTTTGCTGAGTCAAGCCATGTAAAGCACTCAATGGTAAATGGGGGCAAAAAGCCTTGAAATTAATCCATCTTCAGTTGCAGAAGCATAATCGTGCACTCTTAAAATAATACAACCTTCAATGTGAGTACAGTTGTTTTGAAGGGAGACGAAAATGAATAGTGGCCCAATTACTGCTTCCCCTAAAACCCCCTTTAAAAAATATATAATTTTTTTATTTTAATCTTTGAACTTTTAAATAATAATGTTTGATTTTTAGTCCAAACTGGAGACACTCACGCGCA